GTGTCCATTAATTCTTTTGCGTAGAGACTGTCCGGTTTGGCCAATGTACATGGCAGAGGGGCATTGCTGGCACATGATGGCATATATCACATTGATAGATGTACAAAAAGATAGATTTCAAGTGATTATAAGTGGTAGGCATAAAGGTTAGAGATAGTTACCTTTAGAAAAGAAAAGTAAACATGAATTCTAAATCCTAAACTTTTAGACTAAGCGAGAGTTGAATCAAACCGTTTCCCTCATCCTACTGAATGTAGCAGGTAGGTTATATGTTTATACACAGGCTGAATTTTCTTCTCAGTTCACAGTCTTTTGTCTTCGCAGTGTTCTTGTTGTCTTCAGCGTAAATGGAGAGAGGTGGTCTCATGATGCCACTGTCCCTTATTTTATACCCTCACTCCATGTGCCTGGAGAAATACTGCCTCAGACATGTACTGGGGGGCCTAGCTGAGTCACAGAGTTGAGCAATCCTTGTGTGCTGCTTGCACAACTAAGTCATAGAGTTTAGGATTATATGGGGAATATAAGAAAGGGCACTAAGCATCCATATCCACTATTTCTAGCCAGATATATTCAAGAACCTTTACAGGACTACGAAGTGTTCATAAAAGATCCCCCTTCTGTGAGGTCTCACTCAGACCAACCTTTGGCTAGTTGCTTAATTCAAGGAATGTGTCTTTCTGCCTTTCATTGCTCATCTTAAGCACTATAAAATAGATGTGGTGTTTGTCCAATGTGGCTTTTGGATGAAAGGTTTTGAAGTCTTTCTCTTGGTTTTCCTTCATTCACACCCTTCATGGTTATCATGGAAGCACTCAGTCTCATACAAGGACTGAATCCTTCGGGTATTTCTTCTGCTCTGTGACCTATTACAATTGGGCCCTATGTACTGTGATATTGCTTACCACTCAGGGTGTTGCCCATATCGCAGTCACATGACACTCAGTCCACTTAGCTATTGGAGATGACCGAGTTCAGAAGACCATATTGCTGCTTGTTTCCCCACAAAAGTATCATTGCCCATGCATCTTTCTCAGACCAGCTGAATCTAGTTATGCTTTAGCTGCTAAAGAGCCCTTTACAGTTAAGCGGTTTGTCTCTATGTAGGTGCTTATAAAATGTTTCCAAGTAATCTGCTAACCTTTACTTCAATAAACTGATGTATTGAACTCCATTGCTAATTATAAAGTATTTTTTCCACACCGCATATCCATACTTGTGGTTCTTCTTTGAATCCTCTCCAACATCTTTTTTTGAAGTGTGGACACCAGAACTGGATACAGTTTTTCCCATAATGGTCTCACCGATACCACATATTGGGATTACTACCTTTCTTATAAACTATCCTATTTATACATCCAGTGATCATGTTAGCTCATTTTGACACATTGCTATGTTAGGAATTCATGTTCAATTGATTACTGTGACCTCAAGTCCTCTTCAGTACTGCTTTCTAGAATACAGGCTGCCATCCTGTAAGCATGGCATGTAATCTGTGTCCCTAAGTGTATGACTTTGTTTGATTGTATTTAAAATGTAGTTTGATTGTATCCATCATAATGGTGATCCAAATCACTTGGTAATATGTTGTCCCCATTGGTATTTATCACCCCACCAATCTTTGTTTTATCTGCAAGCTTTACTGGCAATGAGTTTATATTTTCTTCCAGGTAATTGATAAAAACAGAGTAACATTGAGCTGAGAACCAATCCCTGCAGGACCCCTGTAAGAACACTACCACATAGCAATTCTATTTTGAGATCTATCTGTTCATTTTTATTTTATTTAAAATGAGTCACTGATTTTTCTATAGCACTAATTTATTAAACAGAATGTGACACATTACAAAATCAGATTTCTATAAGGTGGTATAGTATAGTATTACTTGAAATGGTGAAATAAGTAAAATCTGAAAAAAGTTTGCTGTCTTGTGCCACTATTCTAAATTGTTTATCATCTGTCTTAAACATATTTTAAGTTCTTGTATATTTATTTATTTACAGATGGTAATAGTGGCTGGAGATGTCCTGCTTGTCAAAATGCTTCAACACAAGTTCCTACTACTTATACCTGTTTTTGTGGTGAGTGTATTTCATATTTACAGTTGGTATTCCTTAATTAATAAGTTCTAATACTGTTGAAGAATCTTTCCTTACATCCCCAAAAGCTCTCTTTCATGGCTACTTTGTTAATGATATTGGAAGATAACCACCTGACTTGTGTGACGTTTGATTCCTATATAAAAATTATGTATAACAAATATTTAGATAAATGTTAAAATAAAACCTTTATTAGGAATGTTTTGGAATCAGTATTGATATGAAGACATTTAGTAGGAAAAAAATAATCTAGAAAACTGCTAGCATACCTTGTTCTAAGATACAGGTAATTACAGCTATTGTAGGCCTTTCCCTACATATGTTATATTGGTGCAACTTTTCTAACGTGTGAATTTAAACCAATATAGTTAAACCAATTCAGACTCCTGTTTGGACGCTCTTATTTTGGTATAAGAGTGGCTTTATTGGTTTAGGTTAAGTTGATTGGAAATGGGATTAAATTAAACTGAAATAAGTGTTCACACAGGGGCTTGCACTAGTTTTTAATTGTCAGTTTAAGAAAAGATTTAAGTTAAACAGGTGCAAATTTCCTGTGTAGATCCAGAGCCTAGATCTCTACTTTACCATTTGTAGGCTCATGCACAGAACAGTGCAGAATCATGAGATAAATGAATTAACTGCATACCTTTAGATGTCTTACCAGTATTCTGACCACTGATTCATATTTTTGAGACTTACACTAAATTTCCAAACTTCTGAGCAGCTTCAGTCAGCTTCCACTTCTTAAAATCAGCCTGTCTTGGAAAAGTTGCCTCCTATTTTCTAAAAAACTTGGAATATCACCTCACTAAAAGTGACACCTCAAAGTCCAAGGTGGTCCCTCCCTCATCACTCTCAGTATGTTTACTTTAAAGTTCATTTTTGTATTGAAGTATACAACGGGGCTGTTTCTGCATCTGATTTTTTGTTTTGTCTTGCTTTTTAGGTAAGGTAAACAACCCTGAATGGAATAGAAATGAAATTCCACATAGCTGTGGAGAGCTTTGTAGAAAAAGAAGACCAGGTCAGGACTGTCCCCACTCTTGTAATATGTAAGTAAGAGTGTTTCAGAATGTTTTGTAGTGATCTACAAGCATTTGTGAAAGCTGTGGAAACAGATATTTGGGTATTTGTATTTTTCTTTCAATTTGTCGGTCACTTACTTCTTAAAACCACGGTTTTGATGGCTATTTCGTGAATGAACAAAAGATTTGTATGAAATTGATTATTATGGAATGTGGTTTTCTTTACCAGTATGGAAAAAGTTTCAGGCTTTCAGTGACTAATGCCAGGTACTATTTGTTAGACGTTTTTCAGGTTCCTTTAGGAAAGTGTAAAAATTTAAACTTTTTTTCAATGTCTTTAATTCTGAGCATAAAATATATTACTTTTTATACATCACTGGATCAAGTATATTTTTCAGGAGAAGCGTGGAAATTAGTACAGTGGCACTTATTGTTCCTCTTCACTCTGTTTTATAGAGAGGGGAAATAATAAATGCATTTTCAGTTCTGATCTCATTGTAAAAGAAATAAAATTACAGTGTAACCAGATATAACAAATGTAGAAATTTTTAGAAATTTTAATCTTTATATAAAGGCTTGTGCTTATGGCTGAAAATTTTGGATTTTAAGTATAACAGCCCATCTTTCATAGAACTGATATGTTTTTTGTATTGGGAATGAAAAATTTTTAGGATTGGTTAGTTTTTGGGCCAGTCTACTGAAATAATATCTTTTAAATTTAGGTATTGCCACCAAGATCAAAGATTGTGCACCCTGTTTTATTAAAAAAAACAAACTACACTTAAAAATGTTGACCATTGTGTGCCCCTTTACTGTTGTAAAGATAAACGTGGTAGGTAAATCTATAATTTCCCCACTTTCTAAAACTGCTTTGAAAAAGGCATTTTCTAGCTTAGTAATACAATGATCAGTAGTAGCTGCAGGTTTGTTTCCCCTTAAAGAGAGGAAAGATGGTCAGTGGGTCAGGTGCTGGACTGGACATCAAGAGACCTAGGTTCTAGTCTCACCTTGGCCACTAACTTGCTGTGCGGCTTCTCAAACAGAAGTTATGGGCTTCATGCAGAATTTACTGTGTGGAGTTCTATGGCCTGTTATTCAGGAGGTCAAACTAGATCATAATGCTTCGTTCTGGCCTTAAAATGTATGAAAGTATCTATTGTCTCTTGCAATTTAGTGTGCTATAGGGATATTGTCAAGTTGAATTAAATCTTTTTTTATATTGACTGACTTTAAAATGTTCTCCCAGAACAACCCTTAAATAGTATTTCCTAAAACTTCTTTTTTAAAAAGTAAGGATATTTAAAAGGGTCATTTGGGCAGGCCCAGAATGCCTGCTGCTTTTTTAGTTTGAGCTTTGCTGCTTCTGCTACTAGTAGATCTGCTCTGGCTGAGCCCAAGGAAAGGCATGCACCATCATCAAAACAGTCATATTGCTACATTTAGCAGCATCTTATGAATAAAGTAAATACGTTGATTAAATACATTTTTCTTTAGTCTGTCTTAGTTGTGGTAATCTTAAGGGTTACTTATAACAATAGTGAGTGCAAAACATCAGATGGAAATGTGATTTTCCAAATGCATGATATCCCTTTAAGTGACCTTGCAAGTAAAACTAAAATAAATTTCAAATAACATCAAGAACTAAAAATACATTAAATATTTCTGTTATATATAACATTATTATGTTCATAGTTTGCTTGTATTTATTTGAGAACACATGGCTAAAACTCCTCCCCATCCCCCAATATCCATATATGTCAATACAGATGTAATATGAGTTCTTCTCAGAAGATGGAAAGGAAACCAGTTAAAAGCATTGTGGTATTTCTGTATAATGGGAACTGATCCAGCTTGAACACATTAGTTTCAAAAACTTTCAGAGAAACACATAATGGGGAAGAAGAGAATAAAACCAAATGTGCACCCAGTGTCGCCTCAAATATTTAAAACTTGTTAGTGGTTGTCTGTCTAATATTGTTTGTTTTTCTTGTCTTTTTAGATTGTAAATTTCTGGGTCAAGGATTTTTCTTTCTACGTGTTTGTATGGTTCCGGGCACAGTGGATCCCTAATCCTTATTCGGGCATTTAAAGTAGAAGTAATACATAATAAAAACAAGGAAAATTACTATATTTTTATATAGAAATGCAAACTAAGTAGCTTTGTTTAGGTTTTCATTATTAAATCAAATATCTTCCCCACCTTTTTAGCAGTGTATACCTAGTTTTGTACAAATTCATACATTTGTAAGACCAGAAGGGACCATTATGATCATCTAGCCTGACTTGCTGCATAGTACAGGTCATATGAATTACTGGGTGGAATTCTACATCAAGCTCATATCCTGTAGTTGAGGACACCATGTACTGTGGACACCAGGACTGGACATATCATTCCAGTAATGGTCTCACCACAGTTGTGTGTACAGAGGTAGTATCCTCACTCTACTTCTTGATATTTCCCCTTCTTTATACATCCAAGGATTGTATTTAGCTCTCTTTAGCATTGCAGTGGGGAGTGCATGTTCAGTGGGTTATTTACCATAACCCTTAAATCACTTTTGAGTCCCTGCTTTCCAGGATACAGTTACCAATCTAATAAGTGTGACTTGCACTCTTTGTTCTTCACTGTATAGGGCCTTGTATTTTGGTGTATTAAAATACATGTTCCTTAAATGAACCCAATTTACCAAATAATGCAGGCTGCTTTAAGCCTTTTCTACATCTTAGTTGACAATTTTTTTTTAACATCTCACCTAGTACTGAACTTCTGTCATCTCTAGGATTTCTTTTATTCTTGATTTTTTTATATTTTTATATACAGTAACTCCTCACTTAATATCGTCCCGGTTAACGTTGTTTCTTTGTTATGTCGCTGATCTATTAGAGAACACTCTCGTTTAAAGTTGCTCAATGCTCCCTTATAACGTTGTTTGTCCACTGCTTGCAGGGAGAGCAGCCCGTTGGAGCCAGCTGGTGGGGGCTTGGAACCAGGGTGGACTGGCAGCCCCCCATCAGCTCCACTAAGTTCCCTGTGCAGCAGCCACCCAGCAGGCTATCAATTCCCAGGCAGTTCAGGTGTCCCTCCCCCCACTGCCATGTCCCGCTCCTAGCCTCTGCCTTGGAACTGCTCCCAGGAGCCTCCTGCTTGCTGTGCAGGGGGTGGAGGGGTGCTGATGTCAGGGTGTCCCCCTCCCCGTACCCCATCGCCACAGAGTGTGTGGGGGGGAAGGACACGACAGGGCTCAGGACGGAGGGAGCTTGTGAGCAGCAGCTGCTGTCTCGAGTTGCTGATCTACTTAAAAAGGCAGTGTACTTAGAGTGGAGTCAGTTTACTTAAAGGGGCAATGCGCGTGTGTCTCTCACTCAGACACACACACACACGATGTGTCTCTCTGTCTGTCTCTCTCACACACACGCGCATCCCCCCGGCATTGGGCCTGGTGACGTATTGCTTTTTAAATTATCAGTTTGTTTGAGCACGTTTTCTTAAGAACATAAGAAAGGCCGTACCGGGTCAGACCAAAGATCCATCTAGCCCAGTATCCTGTCTACTGACAGTGGCCAATTCCAGGTGCCCCAGAGGGAGTGAACCTAGCAGGCAATGATCAAGTGATATCTCTCTCCTGCCATCCATCTCCACCCTCCATCTTATTATCTATCCCCTTTTTAATGATTCCTAACATCCTGTTTGCTTTTTTGACTGCCGCTGCACACTGCGTGGACATTTTCAGAGAACTATCC